AGATAGAGCGAAGCCAGGGCTACAAAATGGCTAATTCGTTTTTCTTAATTTCAAAATGTTAACACAAGAAATTATTTTTGATTTTAGAAAGTTTACATTTCGACTTTCATCTAATTGGCTTAGTTTTCTTGATTGAAGTTCTGAAATTAAAGTTGAGGTATAATTTTGTAGAGTATTTCGCAACGCATCTTTTGAAAAAAATATTGAGTCTCGGATACAAATCCAAACCAAGTTATAAGCAAAATACTGAGAGGATCATTCTTTATGGACCACCCATTAGAATATCATTCATAATTATCGAGGAAGCGTCTTCCTTTTCTTTCTATGAAACTGATAGAGTATCGTTATATCTTCTTTCCATTCAGTATTTACTTTGTAGATAAAAGAGTGATGATGAGTATTTCGCGCAAGCGTTCAAGAGCAAACAATGATCGAAGTGAAGGAGATGGGACAACATCAAAAAAGTTTTTTGTTTCATCATGTAACTATGATTCCACAATCAATCAATCAATTTTTTATTTAGTCTGATGTGATGACTATGGAACGACAAAAGTTCATCAGAACTTATAACGTCATTTCTCGATAATGTTATTGGAAAAATAAAAAATCATTAATGATGAATTGAAAAGTACAACAAATATAACATTAAATAAACAAGAATCTACTTAGAGCATGTTCAGAGACCAAAATTGAAAACGCTACTATTATTCTGCTAAAATTCTGAACGTGCTCTCAGTAGATTTAATGTTATATTTGTGTTACTTTTCAATTCATCATTAATGATTTTGGAATGATGTTATAAGTTCTAATGAACTCTTGTCATCCTTCAGTCACCACATCAGACTAAATAAGAAATTAATTGATTGATTGTGGAATCGTAGTTACATGATGAAACAAAAAACTTTTTTGATGTTGTCCCATCTCCTTCACTTCTATTATTGTTTGCTCTTGAACGCTTGCGCGAAATACTCATCATCACTTTTTGATCTACAAAGTAAATACTGTATGGAACGAATTTTAGTTTTAATTTTATTATCAAGAATCTCATTGAGGACATTATCGAAAAACTGTGCCTCCTCACTTTTCCAACCGGATTCTAATATTTATTACCCACACCTACTTTACCAGATACCATGTTAACGACCCATCATAAATCATTTCAAATTTTTATCTATTCTCTCTACCGTACGTTCCCCCTTCCAACCTTTTATATAAGTCAACTATAGCACTACTCATCCATCATTGTTCTGTTATAAGCTTTATTTGAAGAAGAAAAAAAAGGAATAACTAGTTAATAAATAAACAGAACAGACAGGAGGAGGAAAAACCCTTTACATCGCTTTTATCTGCTCATACGTGAAAAGCTTACAATTGTAGATATAGCTAAAATAAAAACATTGTTTTATCCCAAACATTTATACATATGTGCCACTCATTAATAGTTTCAAAGTGTTTTTCTCTCCATTTTCTTCTCCTTAAGGCAATCTTGTTTTACTTCTACTGAGGTAATTATTTTTCTATCTGTCTTTGTTTTCTTCTATAATGTATCACAATTTCCGACTTCCTCATTATTCACTATATTTCATTTACTCACTAGTAGTTTCAATTATTTCTTACTTGCACTTAAAATACACTGCTATTTTCCTTGTCCCTCCGCACATCTCAACGCAATTCTATTACGTATTTTATTATCTTTTTAATTTTCTTTCCCCATCAACATATCCGCCGAATTCTTCGGCAGCACCGTCACAAGTTCTGCGAATATCGGCAACGTTGATGAACTTGTCTATCTTGTTATCACCTTATCTCATCTCGCATTAATCGTTTGTTAATTGTTAGAACACCGCAACTATTATCACCACTCTTCAACAACGTTAACCACATTCTTCGTCTCCATTCACCACCACCACTCGATACATTGTTTCTAGCTCATTCCATGTATCAATAATAATTCATCGTCCTCAATGATCAGATGAATTTCTTAACATTAATCGGGTAAACATTGACTTCATTGTCTCTCTCATACTTTTTTTACTGTTTTCTTTTTCTTTTGTGCGTCATTTCTCTTTTCATTCGTCTACTTGTTCGTCTATTGTTTGACTGTGTTTACTTGTTTTTTTCTCTCTCTTCTTTGTTGCCTATCATATGCATAATCTCTTAAAAAATTTGTCTTTTGACTGGCCAGGATATATATATTTCCTTTTTCTGTGCTCTCTCTTTATTTTATTTAGAAATTTTCCTTATTATTCCTATCCTGAAGTCTTATTATCATGTTTTTCTTATGTATTTAATCTCCACTTGTTGTGTTCATTTTTCCATTTGCTTTTTCTCAACTAGAGACTATTATACCCGGATGGACCTTCTTTCTATTCTCGTGAGAGCACTTAATAAGTGGTCGGATTGGGGTATGTTATGACAGTTCTTTTTCTTTTAATGTCAGTTTCTGTTTCGTTATTATATTACGCAAAGTGGACCGAATAAAGTTATTACATTAAATGTGTTTATTAAATAACACCGTCTTGCCGTTTATAATGACCCTCCTTATAAGACATCAATGAACTGATCTTTTTGTATGTGTCAGTCCTCTTATATTTTGTTTTCTTATCGATGTTTTCTTATATTTTTCAGGATGATCTAAGTGAAATGAAGAAGCCAGGAGGGCTTATGTTTAGACAGTCCTGTGAAAAACTACCTGCAGCTTTTTCTGCTGTGTTCGAAAATATTTCATCTTCACCTATTTTTCTCAGGAAACTCGATAGTGATCTTTTAACCTCGGCAATCCTTTGCTACCTGATGGTGAATTTTCCTTGCTGTTCTATTATCGTTAAGTTGAATCTAGACTAACGTCCCTTTCGCGTCGATTCAATTTCTCGAGATAATGACATAAAGCTTCGTGATTTAGGTAAACTTAAGCATCGCTTTTATTTACTATTGATTTTTGAATCTATCTACATTTATTACAAATCCTATATTCAGGGGTGAGATATGCTTCTGTGACATGTGAGTGGATGCTGCATTCTATTCTGTTTGTGTAACTATAATTTCTGATTCTTCTGCATCTATGCGTGTTCTTAGTTTCACATCTAGATGTAGCAGCAATGTGGTGAGGAATCTACGTTGCATCCAGCTTCTAATTTGTCTAATTGCATGACTACCTCATTTCGTCCATCACGTAAATCTATCTCTCAGACGGAACCACCCGAGGTTCCCACTATTTTGTTAGAAAAGCCCTAACAAGTAGTGAAAATCAACTTGGTTCATCCCCATGGTGCTTTGTTGCTGAGATACTGAATTTTTTTACAGTTTTTGCCTATAGAGTATATTTGAGTCTCAATATCTCAAGGCAGGAAAATTCATAAGCACCGAATATTTTTTCGTCGTACTACTATGACCATGGACTACAAGTGTGATAAGCTTGACATCAAAATTCGAAAGTCGAATTTTGCTCGACACCCAAGCTCTATAGGCAAAAACTGTAAAAAAAATTCAGTAACTCAGCAACAAAACACCATGGGGGTGAACCAAGTTGGGGTATTTCATTCATAAGTTGATTTTTCTACTACTAGCCACTGATAAACTCAAAATGTTCATCGTTTTATCGTTCAATTTTCGTCTCGCTGTTATAAAATGATGTTCGGTTTAAATTTTTTAATTTCGAAAAGTGTTGATGTCTGTTGAGGATATTGCTCTCATTGAAATATATCTCAAACAAGTATTTGATAGACTTCATTTAGAATTTATATACATTTATTTTATTAGAGCCATATCAAATAAGAAATATCTCTATCTTTTCATATCTTGGCAAATGTTAGCAAATGTTGACATTTGCTAACATTTGAAAAAAATGAAAACTGTTACATAGTATCATAAATCATTATAAATTGATAAATCACATAATAAATTGAAATAAATGAAAACCGTTACATAGTATTATAAATCATTATAAACAGGCGAACATTTTATTTCGTTTCAGCAAATTCGTCTTGTCTGAGTGTCACTAGTTGGGTTTAAATGTCGGATCGAACGTTCGGATACCCGTTCATTCCTTCATATAACACTATGTCGATTTCTGACTCTTTCGTAGATTGTAGATTCTCTATTTTCAAAATCCTATACTATCTCTTTATAGAACATCCTACGTCTCTCCATAGAATATCCTACTTCTCTTGCTCAGTTATTGATTTTGATAATATTCTCGTGCGCCGATCCTGTATCAATTCCCATGTCAATTCATGAAATTTTTTTATCTGTTCAGAGAAAAAAAATTTTTGATAATTTTTACAAGTTCACAGCATTTTTAATATTTACTGGTTTCTATTAATAAATTATATAACGTCACCATTCTGTCAGAATCAGAGGAAAGAAGGAAATGTTCGGTAATACGTTTTCACACTATATGTTCTGCAAACCTGTTTTCTACAAAAATTGTATCTCTCCATGCTTGATTGACAGTTGACATATTTCATTTGATTATATAATTACAAATCTGCAATAGACTTTGTCATTTAATTGTGAACGAATAACAGGATGTTAGCCTTCGGCATCATCATGACGATAGCAAAATATAAAAAACGATATATATCAAACAATTTTAAATTTTAAAGAAAAAAAATAACAGTTAATTTAAAAAAAAACAGGGAAACAAAACATTTTGATGTATTATAGTCTATATTCATTTCGTCACAGAAGAATAATAAAGATAAATAGATCTTCTATTTTCCCTAATGTAAAACGTTCAATAAATCTACCTTTCTTTTTTTTTATTAATGTGCATAGTCATTTTATGAAATAAATGGTATGATTATTATTATAAATATTAATTGGAAATTATTCTATTTTTAAGCCTATAACAAATTTACACCTTTCTTTTACATTTATAATATTAGCCCTCTGGCGAAAAACTTGAATAAATACTATATCTGTTAACAGATTCTTATTATTTGAGTAAAAAACAGAGATTTTACCGTCCATAGTGAACAAACACAAAATATTTACTATCCATGAAGTCTCGTCCCAAAGTTAATTATACACAACAACATGACGATGGAAAAAATCTACAATCAATTATCGTAGATATTAGGTAGATATACATGATCTTTTCTAATATACTCAAATTATAATCTTTACTCTTCAGACATTGTCAAACGTGAAGAAAGAGAACTAATCTAGTGTTATGGGTAAAGAAAAGAAGAGCAGGAACCTAACAAATAAGAAAATATCTCTTTTTGTACAAAATATAGCTATTATTCACATCGGATTAGAACAGAACAAGGAAGGTATAACCCAGTTACAAGAAGGAACAAGTATAGTAGACATTTGCCATCTATGATATCGTACAAATGATATGTGTGAAAATATAGATTTTATGTAATAGGTTTTTAAATTAATAAGATATACAATAAGTGTTTAAAGAAAACGACTGGCATTTATGAGGGAGATAGTCTGGATCGATCGTAAGTTTTGAAAAAAGATTCTTAGCTAAAAGTATAGGTTAGAGCTAATGATTGATTCATCCCTCTAAGACGTTTATCAAATATAACAGGATTGCTTTATTTCTAGAGTAATTTAACTGATTCATTGGAATGAAGAAAGATTAAGACATTTGAGAGAAAAACGCGAATCTACTTCAAATTTTGCGGATGACTAAAAGAAATTGGCGCGAAAAATTTCATCATCCTATTAATGAAATAAACGGCTATTACGAAAGATAATGGACTAATTGTCAGATTCACACAAATAATATGTTAAAACCGATATCATACTAAAGGTAGTCTGTAAACTGTAGTTTTATTATCTCTTAAACTTAGAACCTTTACCTTGAGAAGGCAAGAAAAGGCCCATATTCTGCTTCGACATCTCCTTGTTCTATGTGATTTACATTAGTTTCGAAGGAGCACGATATTCGTTCATCAAGCTAATTAATAAAATACCTTTTTGTCTTCTAGAACGCCATTGAATTCAAATGCTGACAAAGACCATGACGTTCGATCGTTTTTTACTCAATTTTATCGTCGTTTTTCATCTATTGCCAAACCAAAACACTTGTGCGATTCCGCAACAGATGATTCAATCAAATTAACTGACACATCTCAATTACCTTTGGATTCTGCCGTTATTCCGCAGAGCGTTTCAGTAGTGGCTAATCCTCACAATGAAGATATTTGCTTATTTAGTGATAGTCCACATTATGTTGTCAGGGTAATTTTATACTATGATCTCATACACTTTATGGCAAAATATGAAAAGTACATTCTGTGTTCTATGACTTTAGATTGCTGGTACGGGTAACGTGGATGAGTTTAACCGTTTAATCCGTGATGATGTCGGAAAATTGAAAATTAATAACGCAGCAGGATTATATGCCATTCACAATGCGGCAGCGAGAAATAAAGTGTCAATATTACAAATTATTGACCAATATAAAGGAGGTAAGATAAATCTGCCACATATCGTTATATTATACTAATATTTATGTTTTAGATGTAAATATGCCGGATAAAAATAGCTGGACAGCACTTCATCATGCTGTTCGACATAGTAGTATATCCGCCATAGAATGGTTATTGGATAATGGTGCCGATAGTACAAAGAAAACGAAAGAAAATGAAGCACCAGCTCATTTTGCTGTTATATACAATCAACTGAATGCTCTAAAGGTAAAACCAGGCCTTTTGCTTAACACGGCTAGAACTTTAATAATTCAATTTTAGGCCTTACTTTCAAAACGTCCAGAAGATGCAAACATTTGTGGAGATAGAGATTCATCACCATTGCATTACGCTGCATTGCACGATAATTTAGAAGCAGCTAAAATTCTAGTAATTAATGATAAATATAGTGGAACTCTTTATCCATCTTCTAAAAATCACATTTTTTTTCTTCTAAAGACGGATCATAACGCTCGTTTATGTCAAAAAACATCATACGGTTTATTTCCAATTCATATAGCTGCAGCAAATAATTCAAATAAAGTTTTTCGTCATCTTTTTGAAATTGGTAAACATATTTCTAGAATTATATATCATTCATATCATTACCAATTTTATATTATTTCTAGCTCGATCACTTGGATATGATCCTGATAAAGTGTTGAATTTTTGTGATTCAGAAAACCATCGTCCATTACATTCTTCTGTCATAGGTATTAATCTCTTGCATTTATTAATATATTAGTATCACTTTTTCTTCTTTGAAAGGTGGTAATATGGAGGCAATTCAAATCTGTTTGACAAATGGTGCTAAAATAGATGATCAACAGGTAAGAATGATCTTTGTTTAATATATATTAACATTTTAAAAGGAGATATCCTATAGGATGATCTTTCAACGCCAGCACATTTAGCGTGTGCACAAGGTTCATTGGAGTTATTGAAATTGATGTTCGATTGTCAACAGGAATTAAAAGAAAAAGTAATTCGTATTAGCGATGTTCAAGGCATGACTTGTTTACATAGGTAAGAAATCAAGTAGAATAAGAGCGAACTATTTGATTTTAAATTCATCAATATTTAGAGCCGCCATGTTTGATCATGTTGATGTCATTGCATATTTATTAGAAATGGTATGTTTAACATTTTTCTTTCTCTATTTAATTTCTTTAATAATTAATGTTATTACATTTTTATAATAGGGTGCCGAGATTGATGCAAGAGACAATCAAAAACGAACGCCACTGCTATTAGCTGCACTAAAATGTTCTTTAAATAGTGTGGATTATCTATTGATGAAAAATGCATCAATCACTGCCCGAGATGAATGCGATCGAAATTTATTACATTTTGTCATTATGCAAGGACTTAATTTTGAAATAATTGGACCTAAATTATTTAGTAGACAAAATTATCATACTCTCTTTGATCAACGAGATATCGATGGTTTTTATCCTGTTCACTATGCAAGTCGAGATGGTCAAGTCACAGTATTAAATACACTAATAAAATATGGATCAAATGATGAAATTGGCAAAAAAACAAGTAAACGTCAGTCGCCTCTTCATTTTGCAGCCCAGTATGTCAAATATATCACTAACTAAATCAGTTTATAAATATAATGAGAATATATTTTAGATATGGAAGATATAATACTTGTAAACAATTGCTTGATACACCAGGTTTCAAACGTATAATTAATGACCAAGATCAAATGGGTTTGACATCATTACATTTAAGTTGCCAAAATGGTCATACTAGAGTTGTTCAATTATTGTTGCGTAAAGGTGCAATGTTTTCAAAAAGTTACGATGGTAATAATCCACTTCATGAAGTAAGATATTTTATCAAATGATAAAAGTTTTAATATTTTTACTTAAAAATCTAAACAAAAATTGAAAGAACATTTTTATTTTTAACTAAAGGCTGCATCAAATGGACACGTGAATACAATGAAACTTATTTTACAGACACATAGTCATTTGAAAAATATTCAAAATCGTTTAGGAATGAGTCCATTACACTGTGCTGCTAGTAATGGTCATGCTGATAGTGTGGCATTATTATTGTCTGCTAATTGTGAATTTTTGAGAAATAAAGATGGTGAAAGTTTTTTTGATCTTGCTATTGAGAAAAAGCAGCGAGATGTCTGTTTAGCCATTATTGCACACGATAGGTAAGTAAAAGATTTGTTTGAACATCAGAATTTAATATTAACTTTCATTATTAAGATGGAAAGAAGCATTGGATTTATCGTCATCAAAATATCGTACACCTTTACTTGGTCTTATTGAACATATTCCTGAATGTGTTCAAGTATTATTCTTGTTCTTAAAACAAATACAAAAGAATTTTATGAAAATTTTTTTATTTTTAGCCAGTCTTTGATCGCTGTATAGTGCATAGTCATGATGATAGAAAACACAAAGAATATCATGTAAATTATGTTAATATTATGTTTTTAATCTTATTTAATACCTGTTTCTATTTTAGTTGACATACGATTTTCACTATGTGAATTGGACAGATAAACAAGAAATTAAAGGAAAAGAATATATATATCCAATGTTACCACTAAATGTAGATATAATTTATTAATAATTTTTAATATATAAGTCAGTCTTATTGTTTCATATTTAGATGATGGTAACATTTGGACGAACTGATCAACTCAGTCATCCATTATGTGAAGTATTATTACGTCATAAATGGTATATATAGGCGATGTTTTTAGCTAGACTCTATTTAATAGTATACCCCATTTTTAGGTTATCATATGGTTTTCCATTATACGCTATTCAATTAGGTTTTTATTTATTTTTCGTCATTATATTATCTTATTTCAGTATTACATATAAAGTATGCAATCATTTTGATCCAGTTTCATGGGGAATAGCAGAAAAGGGAACTATTTGTCCAAATCCATTATTCACATCGTTTAAAGAAACAGCAGTAAGTTTTTTGAACAAATTCAAAAGTTAGATTTATACTTCTAAGTAATAGAAAAACCATGTTATTCTTAATTAAATTTATTCATTTTATTTTTTAGACTTTGAAACAAGTTATGTGTGTTTGGTTTATTGTCTTCTTTTGCTTCTTCAATATTATCTCCGAAATTGTTCAAATGATTCAAGAGGTACTTATAAATATGTTTTATTGATTTATATAATTATAATAAAAATCATCGCTATTTGTTGTAGGGTAGAGACTATTTTGGTGATCTAGAAAACTATGCTCAATGGTTTTTGTATATATCAACATTGGTGTTCATTTTTCCATTTTTATTTAATGAATCAATGCATTATCAATGGGAAGCAGGAGCATGCTCTGTTTTTGCTGCATGGTTCACGTTATTATTCTTATTGGGAAGGTATAATATACAGCTTTCTAGCTTATAGTCAAATTCATTTCATTTTTTTCCAAAGCTATGAATAAAACAGTCTAATATTTTATACAAAAATTATAAAAGGATGAGAAAGAAAATTCAATTATCAGGAAAAATCTTGTATGTTCACATTACAAACGAAAGATATAACTATTAATTGTTTTCTGTTAGATTTGATATGTATGGTATTTATGTAATTATGTTTCTTGAAATAATGAAAACATTGCTACACGTATTAGTTTTATTTTCAATTTTAATTATTGGTTTTGCATTAACATTTTGTGTATTAAGACCATTTTCTCCCGTAAGTTATTCATTCTATCTTTAAAATCTATTATATTTTTATATAAATTGAGATTTATTTTTATATAGCATCTTGATCCATCAAAACCACAACATTTATTAATAATTATTATTAAATCTGTGACAATGATGCTTGGTGAACTTGATTATGATCGTCAATATGTTGATCCAATTTTAAATCACGATGATAATCAACATTTTTCAATAATAACATTGATATTTCTTGCATTATTTGCGGTTGTAATGCCAATTTTATTAATGAATTTATTAGTGAGTTATTTTGTATAAAATAATGAATAGATTTATTTTAATTAATTTTAATTAATTTTATAATCATAGGTTGGTTTGGCTATAGGAGATTTGATGGAAATTCAACGAAATGCAAGACTAAAACGTTTAGCAATGCAGGTAAGAGAATATATAATTAATATTAATACATATTAATCTAACTAAATATATTTCTAGGTTCAATTACACACAAATTTGGAGAAAAAATTTCCAAGAAAAATGTTACAACGTTTAGTTAAAAATGAATATGTGATGTATATAAATAAACGAGTACAATGTAACATGTTATCACGAACATTGAGACAAGTATGAACACGTGTTAGGAGTTTTTCTCTTATTGGAAATTCTCTCATTGTTTACTTTTTCTTTTTTATACAATTTTTTTTACTAATTCTATCTGTTATAGTGGATAAGAAAACCATTGAAATCAAAAGATTTTCTAGGCAATGTTGACGAATTATATCAAGATAGTGGATTATTAGTCAGTCTATATAAACAAAAACGAAGGTACAGTAAAAATGAAAAAAATGTAAGTTAATAAATTTTAAAATAAAAATTTTATTTTATTTAGACAAAAAGATATGCAACGACAATTAGAAAAATTAACAGATTTAGTCAAGTTAATTGTACAAAAGATGGATATACATACAGAGGCTGATGTTGATGATGCACCTCATACGGGACCAATTAATATGGAAAAACTTCAACAAATAATTATTGCTGCTCGAAGATTTTCTCGTGTACCTCAACGAAATCGTCTTCAACAACAACAACAGCAACAATCACAGAACTTTTTAGATAGTAAAGAACAATAATATTATTAATCAAACATTATTTGTTCTTACTATAATTACAAAAATAGATATTTTAAATTTATGTCACATTTCATTCATGTTTTGTCGTTGTATATTATCTGTGATTCTGTTTAATATTTCTCTTGTACATATTTTTTTTTCTTATACCTGCACTTTTAGACAAAATGCCTGGGAAACAGTGAGTTCAACAGGCATATCTGGCGAATATGATCCAATTAAGACAATAATTTATTGAAAAGTTTGTGAAGAAAATGTCAGTAGAGTTCTTATGAACATAATCACTTAGTTGGTGAAGAATATGTGAATAATGGATATGCCGATTCATCATATATATATATAAACAAAAACAATGCGAATATGCACATTGTTCTTGAATTTCATATTAAATTCACAATGTAGCAAATTATAGATATTGTAAATTATCTAATAAGAAAAATATTAATGATATTAAATATACTCTCTATAATACAGAAATGTCTTGTATTTTGAAAATTATTAAATAAATGTGATTGGATGTATGCGCTTAAACTACGATTGTTATGTAAAAGTTTGTTAAAAAGCTATATTAGACATTTCGTTGCTTTTTAAATAGTGTCAATGTCTTTTGGCAAACCAGAAGAATTTGCGCCAAGAAATCTAACTAACGAAAATAAATTCATGTTTCATATTACATAGAACAGTTAGAATGGTTTACTATTTATTTGAAAACAAAGAACAAAAATCGAATAAATTTGATTCTTAATTTTTAAATCTCAAACTGATTACAAGACGACTCGAAAAATACTGTTCACTTTTGATGTCTGTTTTTTGTATCTAAAAATTGTTCATAGAAGAAGCAACGTTGATCGAGAGCATGATGGATTTACATTTTGTAGCAAGTCATGTTTTTGACTTCCTTTTTTCCAGTTTATTTTTATTGCATAGACTCAAATTTTCTTTTCTAGTAGATGAACAATTTAACTTTTTACAAGAATATATTAAAAAGTTTTTCCTAAAATATAAAAATAAACAATAAAAAGAATAATACTAGGATGTTTTAAAGCTAAAACACGGAATTTGGAGATTTTTTTGCTAATACTGTTCGATGTGGAGAAAGTTTTTTAACCATTTTACAGCCCTTAATAAACTCTATCTTTCGACTACAATTAATAAAAATTTCTCAAGTAAATCCTTGTTCAGCAACCGAATTTTTTCTGTTTTGGATTTTCGACAAACTAATTATTTTTGTTCTGCAGTTTTGCTCCGTTCTGTAAAACTCGTCTAAAGCGAGAAAAATTAATATTTTGACATCCGATTTCCTTTTCTCCGACGAGAAATAATCAGAACGTTATATTTACACATTAAATTTGAACAAATAGCATTTTCCTAATATAGTGCGCAAAAAAAAAAGCCAAAATTTTAGCTTTCGAATTTTAAAAAGCGTATTTTTGACCTACATAACTTGATTTAAATAAACTCTGCGATACAATATAAGACGAGAAAGAACACGCTTAAAACTAAGCAAAAATTTACTGTAGCTGACTCCGCCGTTCTGTCAAATTGCAGCAGAGAATTGAAATTGCTCATCTTCTAGAAAAAAAACTTTACATCTGTACGATAAAAACTAAATGAGATATTGAGAAAACACTAAGAGTAACATTTATTCTGGTGCACCTACTAAGTCATCATATTAGGTGTTCATCTGACAACTAGCTATTATTAGATCTGTAAATTAGATCCTCTAATGTAAAATTTGTTCGATAATTTTTAGTGAGCACATGATTCTCTTTTGAAGATGTCACTTTTCCTCGACGACTAAGGAAGCGTTTCAAAATATATTCCGGTCGGTCAGTCGCTATTTTCCGCATTATTATTCTGCTACTATACAACATTTCATTTTATAATCATTTTTATATAGGAACTTCATTTTATTTTCTAATTGATTTGATTACTTCTTCAAAGACAATTAATCGCTATGTGTCAAAATTTTATTCTTTTATCAATCTATAAAAAACATAGTCTGTACTTTTCTTTTATATTTTATTCTATTCTGATACTATTTAGATTTTCCAATAAGAGAAATTATTCTGTTTTTCTGTTTAAAGAATAAAATAAGAAAGAACAAATTTTATAGTTTCATCAAAACGTTCATCTTTCATATATGAGTGAATCGTACTTTAGTTGTACAATTTGTGGGAAAAAATGTAAGTAACTTTATCAAAAACCTGAGTCGACTAGACTATTCCCCATAATTTTCTGAGTACCAGGTAAAAATTTCCAAACTACCAAAGATCTACCGGCTAAGATAATAGAGGTGCAAGTTCCTAATGTATTAAATTAACGGTGACCCGTGATATTTTCAAAATAAATTCTAATAGAAACAAGATAGAGACCTACGATTTACGCAGGACACTTCTAGGCAGCATTATCAACTAGCTTAGGAGTAATTGAGCGGGAAAAATTACCTGCAGGTGGTGTACTCGTTGGAATTATTCTTGTCAAAAAACGCTTTCAGAGAATCTTTGCGGTTTTTTCGACTTATTGGTAAATACTTCCAAAGCTTTTGTTTTACGTAGTTCTGTTTGCTCTACTAGAAAGAGCGTGTTCGAAAACCCATTAAAGTTTACTTTTCTCAGTTCTGCACAGCTATGAATAGGAAAAAAGTTCGAAGCGAATCTCTCCCTACAAAAAAAGTCTCCCTACATTTTGCGGCATAACGCGAAGTTTACTAGGAAGACATCAACTTTAAGGGCTGAAATTTTTACCACTCATACAACTTCCTACCTGCTTCTGGTTCTGAAAGTTTGAAACAATTTAGATACAATCTCATTAACTTATGGGCAACGCAAGTTCCAAAATCTCTCCCTACAAACTGAGTGAAAAACCGAAACTTAGTCATTTTTGGACCACTTAATAGGCGTTTAGTAAAATACTTTTATGTGTTTTCCGGAGTGTTTTTTTTTTGATGCTCTATCTCATGGTGAAATCAATTTTACGCTTAAGTGCTGCCTGAATCCGTCAGACCGATTTTGGTGTCTCCCTACAATTTGTACGGAAAACTTAATTCTCCAAAAAAATCTGTGCCAAAGTGCTGAAGCGAAATCATAAATGATATGCATGGATAGAGAATTTTGCTCTCTACACGATCCACTGGTCTGCTTTTTCTTTATCATCTGTCTTTGATGTAAAAATCGCGTTTTTAGTCATGCTAGTCAAGATAAAAACGCGTTTTTCTGCTTTTTCATGCGTGTATCTCACTCACCTGAAAACATAGAATGCTCAAAATTTTATCGGTAGTGAGAGGTGATGAGATGAGTAAAATAAAAAAAAATTTTAGGAATCCGACAAACCACTACGGATTTATGGCAGAAACGGTACTAAACAACCAATTGTACAATTAATATACGATTCACTCATATTCAAAGAAGAGAGTGCTCACTCTAAACTTATTTCGTATTGGATCAACTTCGTGAATTAAAATTACATTAATTAGAGAAGATCCCTTTCCATTTATTATACTAGTTTAGAGTACACGAGTTGTACACGATACTAATCTGTTTTTTAGACAAGAATCCCTTTTAGTTTTTGTGATATATGGCTGTAAATATCGCTGATTATCGTTTAACCCTTTGGCTATCGCCGACGTATATATACGTCATGAACTTTATCAGTGTCTAAAACTAACGTAATCAATCGTAGTGTATAAACTTCCAAGTACAATAACTACTTGACTACACGATGACTCAAAAATATTCAAAAAATGTTTACCCTCCCGTGCAAAAAAAATATTTCAAAAATAGCCTCAAGATCCAAAATATTAAAAGATGAGTCAAATTCTCTCGCTTAACTTTCCCACTATATTTATCTTACTCAGTTTTGGACGCTCTTTCCAATGGCTTAATCAGACTTTTTTTTCAGTCACTCATACCTGAGAGAGAGCAGTCACACTGAAGAGTATGGCACTTTTGGCTTAAAGTCGCATTTTCATCCGAAGGAAAAAGCTTTTCAAACTGTTTTTTTACCAAAATGTAGCGGACGCTCTCCTCTAGCGATTGATGTAGTTTTCATATTTTGTTGGTTTATCAACTGTACGGAAAATTCTTGCTGACCGGAAAACGTTCACTTTTCGGTCTAATGAGCCTACACAGAATATTTCTAACTTTTTTTATCTACAAACTTTTCGAGAAATAATGTGGTCATTGAGAGAAGAAGGTGGTATAAAAATGTTCAGCGGATTGAGCGCTATCATCCAGACTACGCTGTTTATTCGTTTGGTCACCCAAATTGTGACGCTATCAGTGCACAAGTTAATCTGTACTTACGGGTAATGTTGGATTTTGAAAAAAGCAGGAAAATGACTAGCCAAACAACACAGTGAAAGTATGCGTTGTAGGGTTTTGTACAGCAGAAAATTTTCTATCTTTTGAAGTCAAAACGAAGTCTTGGAACCATACGAGATATAGATAAAAATATATACATGAATAACCCCATCTTTTCAGGATCATCCGTTCTTAGCTCCAAAATGTTAGGAAAAATTTTATTTCTCAATGCGGATTAATTAAATGAAGACGAATTCTTTACGCAAAGTACCTGTGATGAATAGCTAACAAAAGCGTTATTAAATAATCAACTAGGTCAAGTATAAAAATAATTATAACCTGTTCCTTCCGTCGCAGTTATTCTTCTTACCTATCCCTACTCTGCACTATTTTTTAAAATAATGAAATAATATGTAATGAAAGAAGATTTTGTAGAGCAGAAAATTCTCTATCGAATGAGTTTAGAATGGAATCTTCGAACCTCAGTTGTGCTCGGAAGAAAAGAGAACAAAAGTATGTCATTATTTCTGATCCACCCGTTAGAAATATAATAATTACTTACAAGAGAACCGTCCTAAGTGCCGGACGCCTTTTGAGCTGATATTTTGCCCGCAAGTGGACCTTGAGGAAGTATGAAAAACCCCTAAAGGACTTTTTCCCAGATCAATCTTTCTGAATTATGATCGCTTTTTTAACCTGTGTCAACTGTTACTGTTATTTTGACTATTACTTTCACTATTAAACAAACTATGGCAGTTTTTATTCCGATATTAGTTCTGTAGAAATTTTTTTTTTTCTAAATTCGGGATCATATTGGCTCTTTTTATCGAATATCCGGGACTCGTTCTGCAATGTTTACGGGATCAGAACAATTACTGTCCAAAGTAAAGTATATGTATTCTTGATAGATAGAATAATCTTTTGACACATAGAGGTTAATTGTCTAAAAGTAATCAAATCAATTAGAAAAAAAATACGAAGTTCGTATATAAAACTGATTATAAAATGAAATGTTGTAACATCAGAATACAAAAATAGTCCGCAGAACAGAGGGATAGCGACTGATCGATCGGAATATATTTTGAAACGCTTCCTAACTACAAATGATAGTTGCCATCTTATGCAAAACTTTTTCTTCTATAAAATATTTTTCTGTGATTAAAACATTTTTCTCTAATTATTGCAAAAAGAAAGGAGATCTAAATAACTTCCACTCGTCGTCATTTGATCCATTTATCATTGGTAAAAAGTACCTTATAACGTAAAAATATATTCATCTCTTTATGTCACAGTTTATGCAGTGTATTATATGATAATCTTTGTATTGGATCAATAATAGTATTAGAGAATATGCAATTAGGCATTAGTTGACACAAATAGATTGACAAGCATAGCCAGTGTAATGACGTGATATGCATTACCGTATACATGTATATGTATCTGTGTATTAAATATTGATAAACTTTTTTCTAAAAGACATTTAATCATTAATATTATGTCAAGCGTTATATATGCAGGGTATACATAGAAAATACATACACTATATTACGTTAAAGAGGAATGATTAATTATTTTAGCCCTTATATATTAGGAGTGTAATATATATATCAATAAGATTTTCTTCTTGTCATGGGATAAATTGGTTTAAAATAACCAGGTACACCATATTACATAATAAAACTACAATTTCCTATATTAAAAGAAAATCTTCCTTTTTTGATATTTTTTCGTATTTTAAGGTTCTATCATGGGAGAGAGAGAGAGAGAGAGAGAGAGAGAGAGAGAAAGTGGTAATATTAGATATAAGTATATTATGTTTATTATATTCAGTATCATGTTTTATTCACTAATACGAATCTCATATATATTTTTTTTTATCATTTAAGGTCTTTTCACACATTTTTATGTGTGCTATTCTATATGTTAAAAAGGCGAGGCTACGCTAATAAAGAAAGTTATTTCTACATACTATACTACTTGAATATATAAAAAGTAAATGTGTGAGGCGGCTCGTGTGATAGGTGACATTATTAATGTGTCAACTGAGTTATAATCGAGAAATCATTGAGAAGAGAAAAACATATATAGAGAGAAAAGAAAATGAACGATATATATGTACAACTATATACTATTCAGAAAAAAAATGAAATGAAACGATTAAATAAAAAAATTGATTTCTGATTTATGCTGATTTGCGCAAAGGTGATCGCTCTTTTGTATGTATATAAATGACGATCATTAATATATTTGTAAATTATATAATAAGCCTTATACTATAGAATATTATAAAAAGAAAATCTATAAATGTAATCAAGATGTTTATTGTTTTTTCTCAATAGTAATCATAGCACATTTAACTATACTATAGAAGAATGATATGAAGAAAACAAAAGAGTATATAATATAGAAAAGAAAATTTTAGTTTCTGCTACTAATAAAAAATAATAATTGTTTTAAGAAGTAAGAGGAACGTATTACCTTGCACTATCACCAAATTCTTGATACTATTGTGTATGTGCAAGAGTAGAGAGATTAAAGGATTTTTTCCAATGGTTATAGCTAGAAGATTAGAAACTGGATTGTATCCTATTATTTATTCTATTCCACATTGTATGAATGAGATAGTTTATTAGTTTATTAAAGTTAAATTCTTTAATTTTATCACAAATAGTATTTTCACTGTGTTAATAATCGAGGTAAAGCTCGTTTTTGATGATTTAAAGCTTAAAAATTGTTTTATTCCACCTGTTTTTTTGTCGTTGTACCTTGAAGTATACGATAAAAAGACAAGTTTAGTTACCGGTAACTCTCTATCATCTAGGTCTAATTAATTGGAGATGAGTAAATAGTAGAACAATTATTTATCTCATTATTTCTTATGTAAAATGAAAAGTATTTAAAATACGAATAATAGATTGCCTTTTCCCATCTTGATAATAAACTTTGTTTCTATTCATGAAGAAAAAAAAAGTGTCGGAATCAAAAGAAAAAGAAAAAATAAACGCGATTCATATATCGTGATAAATATTGTGTGTATATAAGAAAAGAAGAGAATCAAAGTGTCCAATCGTGTGTAAAGAGTAAGAATATTTTTTCATTGGCTTGAAGAGAAATGAAACAAATAATTGTAGACTATATGTATATGATCAATATAGAAGCAAAAAAAAGAAAAATAGAACGGACAACCATACGTTTAATGGTCTAAAAGTCAAACCTTATAAAAATTATTATAAAGCAAAAATTTTAAACTTTTTTTTATCAATCAACAACTAGAAAATCCCATAATTTAATTATTTTCAAAATTAAATGTTAATTAATTTATATTATTAAGATGTCAAAAAGTAAAAAAGATTTTAGTGTGGCATTTTTATTAAGTAAAACATCAAAAAAACATCGTACAACTGACAATAATAATAATTGTGAAGACGAATTTTCTTGTCATTCAAATGGTACATCACCAATATCAAGTATCGAAAGCTCATTAACATCACCTCAACATAATCTCGATATTTTAAACAGTACACCGTGGAATAACTCGACATTATGGTTTCCTACAACATCCGGTAAGCAAACAAAGATTATAAGAATAGATTTTGAGTTACTCTTGAATTTTAACGATTGTTTATGCTAAAAATTTCAAAAAATATGGCTATTCTAAGAACATCATAGTTATCGATAAAAGCCAAAAACTTTTTTGTTATAAAAAGTGAATAATGATCAGAAAAACAATAATCACTTTGAATATATATCTATCATCCTGTTTAAGATCAAATAATGATAGATTTATAAATGAATGATAATCTATTGTGCAAGAAATATAATTTATTTATATAATACTTATAAAATCTGTAGTTATTTTCTTTTTTCTTTTGTTTATTTTCAGATCAAAATGAGTGTTCTAAATTAAATTCAACAGTCTGTCCATTACGTAAACATAAAAGTAATAGAAAACCACGAACACCATTTACAACGACACAACTATTAGCATTAGAAAAAAAATTTAATGAAAGACATTATTTATCAATTGCTGAACGTGCCGAATTTTCAGCAGCTCTAGGTTTAACTGAAACACAAGTAAAAATATGGTTTCAAAATCGTCGTGCAAAAGAAAAACGTTTAGCCGAAGCTGAAATTGAAAAATTTCGTTTTATTCAGATAAAAGGACGTTTAGTTCAACAATTTGACTTAGCAGTAAATAATCAACATCATAATGATTCAATGGCTGCTGCTCATCTTTACAATTATATATCAGCTAATTCGTTTCGATAAAATTGTTTATTTTTTGTTTTATATTATTATTGTTGTTGTTGTTGTTTTTCTATTTTTGTATACTAGTCTATGTCATTTTCATGCTTTGAGATGTATATATTTCTAAAAATAATTATTTATTGAAACAAAAATTTTTAATCATATAATTTGATCAATATGATAAGGTAAGATATCTTACAGGCACTATGTTTAAATTATTTTTGAAATTCTTCTTTTACTTAAAACGAGTATCAATATTTCTTTTTTAGCAAAGATCGTTGACTAGTTCAACAAGTTAGTCACGAACAATGAGAAATTTCTTTATTGTTAAATCTAAACTACTGAAAAATTTTTTCTATTTTATTCATTTTACAATTGTCTTTCTATTATCCTTTGAACTTCATATTTGAACAGCAACTGAATCGTATATGAAATTTACTAATTGTTGTTCTTCCATATTTTATTGTTTTCTGTGTAATATAACAGAAAATTGGTAAAAACGATTCTCTATTAAATCTCTTATTTGCAACATTAATAGGATTTAAACATTATCCAATAGAAATGATAATAGACAAATGTGTATGAAATAACAAACCACGATACAAACAAAGAAAAAAAGCAGAGCTTCGTTGTTTATTGCCAATATAATTACTGTTTATATATATACAAAAAGAAAAAAGAGGGTTTAGTGAAACTGACAACTTGTATTTAGCAGCGGTAGAGGGGGCGGTTATATCTAATTGATCAATAAATGAGAGGGAGATGGGGAGAAAACAATAGATGTAACTATTTCTGCTAAAAACAAATGTCATTTAACTTAAGAAATCAAAACAATTTTTGATAGAAGTGATTGACTAGAAACAGAGAAACACGCACGTACGTGTAATCTGTTACAAGGCAATCACAAAATATTAATAATAATAAACGTTTTTGTCTCATTTATTAGATATTATACATACTACGAGACTCTAAATATGGTGAATTCTGCCATGAAATATAAACAACATTTCTAATAATGATGATAAAAAATCAATAGTTTGATGTAATGAACAATTGTCAAAATGCACTACGTGTCTATAGAATAATATTCAATAAAAAAAAAAATGGTTAATCAATTAATTTTTGTATTTTTGTTGTTAATCTCTCTCTCTCTCTCTCTCTCTGTCCATTCATTTCACTATCGTCTATACATAATAATTTATTGAAAAATATAGTATTTAAGAGAAGGACATTACTTTTAGTATTATCAATAATAGTGTATTTTAAAAAATTAATTGTTTAGATGATGATTTGCACATGAGATAGACAAGAGACTTCTTCTATTTAAAAATGTATAACACGCAAGAGAAAGGGAATTTTATGATTTAAATATAGTTACCATACTGTTCATACACATATTTAATAAACACTAAATGTCAATTTTTTGTAATGATTTCTTAAGTGAATAAAATTTCACAAATCAAAAAGAAAAAAAAAAATTTACATAAAACCTATAGAGAAAGTTTATTGATGAAACACAATACAAAAAATAAATAATAATAAAACAAAAAGTGTTTCATTATATTCATCGTCACCGAGTTAATGAGCCAGTATATATGAAAAACATTAAACGCTAGACTAGAAATCTACATACACACACACACACACATAGTCATTTGAACGTCGAGGTGTAGATTATGCTGAAATTTTCTCTCTCGATGCATGCATGTCAAATATATTTTGGACTTTCTCATTAAAAAAAAAAGTAAAATATGTTAGAAGAATAAGATACGCTTGATTTAAGAAGTGATGACTTATTAAAATTAATGAACTATAGCAAATACAACATTTAGTTGGTATGCAGTAAAAAGTAAAATTGACAAAGTCTCTTAGTAATAAATATAGAAAAATGTCAAAATAAAAATTCTTCATTTGATTTCAAAAGTTTATAAACTATGAAAATATGTGTCTGATAAATATTTATTCAAAAGTTTCAATTGTAAAAATGATTACTTTTTTTGCTTTTATTTTTTAGTTAAATATGTATTATTTAATATTGAAATTAATTGAACAGAAACAAAATGAAATGTGTTATATGTGACGCACGCAGCTGAACCGTTATATCGAATATGTTCCATGTCATTGAGTTAATTCGAAGTAATCAACTTAATATATATCATCACAAGTTTTTGATCATAAAAACAAAAAAAAAAAAAAAAAAAAAATAATATGTTTGTTTATATGAAAAAAAATTTTTAGTGTGTGCTAAAATAGTTGTTGAGTAAGAAGGAAAAAAAAAGTAAACGCCATACATAACATTCATTTCATTCTAATGACATGTGAATGAAACGTGTTGAAAATTTTGTAACACATCATTTGAATGCAGTTGTGAATATATTGATTAGATTTATGTGATTTTAAATGATAGAAGTAAAAATTAGTAAAATGGCAGACAAAATTATAGATATAACGCGAGAAAATTTTGTGTTTTGAGTTTTTCTCTGTTCTCTGTGATGATTCTCAAGTATTCTTATTTCTTTATCAAAACGTACTAAGATGTTTGATTGAAGATGATTGGTATTTCTCATTCAATTTGCTACTGAATAATTGATAAAATTATAAAATCTAATTAATACATATCTCACGTAATCAATAATCGAATATTTTTTTTCTTTTTTTTGTCTAATAGATCATTTTCTTTTACGTGCTGATACCAGAAACACTTTAAGATATTGCCGCACTTTAAACAATATGAAAGTCTTGCGATATCCGGTTCTGTACAATCAAGGAATAGAATATATATGTGTGTATATATATCGATATATATTTATATATATATATGAAGGGTTAATAGAATATCATTGTGCTAGTTTATGGCAATTTTCTTCAAACAAACTACTTCCGCAACATTTATATTTACACTTACTTAAATACAGCAGTTAATAGACATCAATCATAATCATATCTCTTACACTCTCTCAAATTACAAAGTTTAGTTAAATAAATAGGAGAATACACGTAAAAACATATCATTTAGGGCGAATGAACAAGATCTGGGAGGAAACATATACATTAGAGAAGACAGAGACGGTGAAAAAAGGAAAAATGAAACAAACACAGACATCGTGCGCGGTACCGTTTTTTTTTTTTTTTATTGCAACATATTTTCTAGTCTGTTATCTGTATGAAAGAATGAGTACGAATGATAATTCTGATGATGACCTAAGTGCGTGCGAACAGAAAGAGTACAAAATGGAAATTATAAACAAATTTATTAAGGTTTTCATTAAGCAATTAACATTTCTTTTAGAGTACGATGTTTTTATTTAGATGAACGAGTCAGTTTTCGTTTTGTCTGTTAGTTTGAAAGAACTGGATCAGATAAATCTTTAAAGTTTTAATGAAAATTTAGTCTGCGAGTTCTCACGCAGTGTTATAACAAATCAAAATAGATAGATCGATTTATACTCAGTAATTGCTTTATGGTGTATGTATCTAAAACACTAAACTATAGATAGCACTTTAAAAGTATTATTTTCTCTAATAGTATGATAATATTTTAAAGGTTTCTCTACTAGAAAAAAACAATCTTTAACTGAGTTATCTTCACTGGAATTGAAACAGACAATCATAATGCACTTGCAAGAAATGAAAAATAAAAAATCTTTCTACTTGAATTTGAGAAAAAAATATCTTCTAGTTATCATCGTGTCAGTGCTCTTCGCAGAAGTTTGCAGCCTAAAAGCAATGGTCAATTTAGGGAGGCACCGAAGAGGCGACCGTTTTCCTCTCCCAAGAAGTGATGAGTTAAAAACTAAAAGGTTTTTTAAACTACTTCTGATAGACATTTTTTTTGTAAAACGTTTTCTTTCTAAAATACAGCTAGATCTACTAGTGCCTAAAACTATCCTTTTCTCAACGTGTTACCACGGATAAATTACTGAATTTTTTTTAGAAACATACTGTCTACATTCACTTAGACGAGGTACTGACTGTTTAAAACAGCAAACTGAAACCCTAATCGAAGAAGTATGGTAAAACCAGATAAAAGAGAAAAGAAATGTATTCACAATGGAACGTAGAATATTGTTATATTTGATGAGCCTGTTTAAAGAAGATTTCGAATGTTTAAATCAGTAATGCATATATAAACTCTCTCGAAAATGGCCGAATAGACGTGTTGTTAAAAACTCTGTTATGAGATCCTCATAATCTGATGTTATTAAACAATAAAATTCCTTTAGGCATTAAATAGATAAAGTCATAAGAGTAGCTTAACTATTTCGTCGTATCATCAGTGAAATAATCGTTTTAAAAACAGAATTTTGTTACATAATCTTAATTATAAAGATATCTATCTCATACATATGGATAACTATCTGTTGTATACAGAAGACGAAAAAAAAAAACGTCTTTTTCTCTTTTAGTCACCTTCATACGGTTATGTATCTTCTGTCATTTCATTATGCTTGTCAGAATAGAATATGATAAATGTTTTCTAATTGTACACTTTTCAGCTTCTACTAGGAACTTAACGATATATATGTATGGTTAAATCTTTTAATAATCAAAATGGAATTTGTCATTTTGCTTTTCGTTCGTTGACAAAAAAATCTCGTATATCATTTTATCTACGTATATAACTCGACTCGGTGATAAGATTTGTATATGGGTATATATATATACTTATTTATTAATGAGTGTTTGATATGCCATCTATTTTCATCGAGTCATCGCGATTCATATCTGAATATAATCAAACCCTGTTATTAATAAAGAAAAGTATACAGCGTTAATCGTTAGTAATTAACCTTGCTCTCACTTTCGCTCTCTCTCTTTAGCCAACTAAAATGAGTTTTAACTCGATTGACAAATTCATCTGCAATAGAAAGGTCATGAATATACGTACATAAAAATCGATAGTTTTTTAAGATAATAGTAAAGACGTATATCGTATTAATATACAATGTGATAGATATCTTCTTATTATGTACATTAACAACGAGCAAGAGAGCGCGTGATCAAACCTATAGTTTAAAATCGTCTCGCTTTTAATGATTCAAAATGCGGCAGAAAATCAATTAAACTTTCAATAAAATTGTTTAAGTGTTTTCTAAATACTTTTGTTTAATAACCAATTTCCTTTGGAGGAATTATGGTTAGTTCCGTTTTAGAAAATAGTATTGTAAACATTAACAGATATAATTTTCAATTGACTCTTTTTTGATTGTGTGACATCACCAAGATCTAAAAATATAACAGTATAAAAATAATTTTAAAAATTGCTATTTTTCACCTCTTGATCGAGTTTCGCACAAAAATTTTACACTTGGAGAAAAGTTGCTAAAATTAGAATTCTTTTCCTAATCTTAATGCTTAAAGAAGGATATTCTACTCTGTTTTTCCTCGAACAAACTAAAGTTTAGCTTTTAGTCTTTGACTCTGTCTTTAACAAACTAACAAAAGAATTGCATAGAAATATATTTGATCATTTTGATCATTTGATTTCACTTATATTACAGCAATAAAAAATGATTATGTAATTCTGGAAGTTCAATGACTCTTAATTTTGTAGTGATCTGATGCTTGTACAGTTGAAGAAGAAAGATGTGTAATTCTTACAGGTAAATGTTTTTTCTATGACTTTTCATTGGATTTGTTCTAGAGATGTATAGCAGCTATTCGAAGAAAAAAAGAGAAAACAAAATCAAGTTTTCTTTTTATGGATCAAGAAGAGAAAAAAATAATGTCTGTTCTATTAATTATATGTCTTACGATATATACATATTATCCTAGCGTTCAAAAATGTTCACTTTTTCTATTTTGTCTTTCTCTGTTCTGTTTTATTCTCTCATTTTTATGTTGTGCATGAATGAACATCCAATCAGATTATTTTTATTAATTCTTTAAAGCAATTCTATTGGATTGATCACTTTGTGAGTTTATATGCAAATTAGTTAACTTTCTTGTGAAAATTATATTTATTTTTTGTCACTTATTATTTTGCCAGTAGTTAATTCGAATGTATTTATTATTGTTTTATCTAAAATGAGTGAAGATCAATCATGTCCACGTACTCATCATTATTACAATACTCTTTTAAGAACAACAACAACAGCATTAAAAAAAACAAAAACAGATTTTAGTGTTCGAAGGTATAATATAATTTAGTAGTAATAATCACTAATTGTTAGTTAATTATCTTTTGTTATTTAATTTTAAGATTAATTGGTAATATTGTTGAAAATGATAATGATACAAATGCTGAGGATGTGACACATTCAACATCAAGTAGTCCATCAAAATCAAGTAATGAAAGTATACAATATTCACCAACAAGTAAATCTTGTCCACGACAGAGGCTATCATGGTCGTCAGTAGATACAGGTCAAACATGGTTACCAGATGCAGAAATTATTGATAAAGCGAGTAAGTAAATATACAAAGGCTTTCATATTGTGCGCATTTAGACTTTGTAAGGAGAAGTTATTTTTTTATTGCTTATTACGCTAAAACGTGAATTTTAAATATAAGTTGACTTTATTTGTAAAAAATTTCGTTTCTTAGCTGAGATACTTTTCATAAAGATAGACTTTATGTTGGTTATCTGAGATGCAAAATCAATGTCTCTGCTCAATCTCTACTCGATTATGGATCTACTACAGATCTAAAGTTTAAGTTAAGAACGCGAGCGATTTGTAAGTGGTAGAATGATTCACCAATGATATCAATTTCAGATTCATCGATTTTTCGCTAATAGTGAGACTTCTAGATGCTCGGTCAAATAACGAACAACTGGCAATTTCGTTTAATAGAGCACGGACATTTGACTTTTTCTATACGTTTAGAATCTACGTTTTACCAAATATATCTTAAAGACTGTTCGTTTTTGCGTTAGCCCTGGCATTTTATATCACACTTACTTCAACTGCTCTAAGAAAATCTTTGCTCTCTGATAAGAAGGAAATTGCTCAACCCCACTAGAAAAACTGTTCAATTCGACTTTGTTTAATCGTTCTTGTTTTATCCATCTCAGGGTACCTCTGCTTACAAATGTAGGGTTTTTCACGCATTTCTGTTTAGATGCAAACCCTTCTAAACTCATCCCGATCAAAAACTGTATTTTTCAAATTCTTTGTACCCGCAGTAGCGGATATGCGTCTGAAACAACCTTCACGGCTTTACTTCATATAATCTAAACATTATTCAATTCAATGGTCTCTCGACAAAAAAGCAGAACAGTATCAATTAAAACGAAAATGGTAGTTAAACTCCTGATCTGACGTTTAGCTTGCGTAATAAAGTTATTCGTAGCGTAGGGTAAATAACATCATAATCATTTGTTTTATTTTCATACTTTTTAGGAAATAATGAATTACCAAAAATAAATGCAAAAGCGTGTTCATTACGAAAACACAAAACTAATCGTAAACCACGGACACCATTTACCACGTCACAGTTACTAGCCTTAGAGCGAAAATTTCGTGAAAAACAATATTTAACGATTGCTGAACGTGCCGAATTTTCAGCATCATTGAACTTGACAGAAACTCAAGTAAAAATATGGTTTCAAAATCGTCGTGCAAAATCAAAACGACTGGCTGAAGCTGATGCTGAAAAATATCGTTTTATTCAAATGAAACATCCACTAGCTGTAGCAGCCGCTGCTGCAGCAGCATTTCATCCAATGTATAATTTCATTCCACCGGCAAATTTAACGTGTTCTTGACGTTCTTTCACATCTCTAAATTGTACTCTAGTCAGAATGATGCCTCGTTTCTCCGATAACTTCTTTAGCAAAATAATTATATGTCGAGGCAACTGTGCCAAATAAACGACACATCATGGGTGCGATCACTCAACATTAAAATGTTTTTTTTCCTTCATTTTGTGTACCTCATCATATTCTAATCTTTTCTCCCAATCTAAAGTCTCATGTTATTTTTACGATTAATGATAGCAATTAACAAATATATCTGTCACAGTGAAAACCTTTTTTATGTAATGATGAATATACATGTGTTTTTGATTAAATAAATATATTAATATGCCTTCAGGCACCTCACTTCTTTTTTTAACTCTATCTTTTACCAAATATTAATCGTACATGTCAATTTTAATTACAAATGAGTCCAACTTTTTAAAGGTCACTTGTGAAAATCATCTAGTACTAATAAAGCTTATTGTTTTTATATGCGTTTATTTCTTACCGAATTGCAATAGTAGTAATTTATAGCTGATGAGATTTCACAAAAAGTCTGTACTGTCTTTTTTCTGTATTGTGTCAAAAAATCTCAGTCTAGATTAGTATTATTATTTTTATATCATAATGGTTGAGTGGTTACCCGTTCTTGAAAAGTTATAGTTGTATTTCTAATTAAAAGTAAAGTCAAAAACGCTTCACGGTTAATTAAGTCAACTCAATATCCTGACACCATTTGATTTAAAATATACATGGTTAAAAAAAGCACTTAACATAGCAATAAAAACGTCTATAGGAAAAGAGATACGAGTGTTCGACAAGCGTCTAAAGAAAGGGATCAGTCATCATTTGTCTGTCTGTGTATATTCTTTATGAAGAAGATAGAGAGAAAAATAAGAGAGGTACACATCAGGGAAATAGATAATTTGCTGTAAAAAAAAATAAATGTTAGCGAATAAACGTAGAATTGAAGCAAGTTAGTGAAGATCTAAGTTTAAAAGAACTATTTTGACTAAAATCATGGTTTTTAGTAGAATTATTTCTTCTCAGTCTCTTGAAAACAGGACTAATCTTTCCATACTCTAGAAAAAAATCTATTCTCAATTGTATGTGTAATTCCTGAGGTATTCAGACTGAGCCGAAGTTTAGCTCTTCTCCACATTTACTATCTAACTGGTGTTATAAAATGTATTTTCCGTTGTTCTCTATTTTAAATTAAACATTTGTTGTTTTATCTCTCTAATCCATGGCAGGAGTTTAGTTTTAGTTATTCAGTGGGAAAATCGAGTGTATCCTTTGGCAAATAGATACACCGATCGTGAACAGATACCCAGAGCAGTAGTTTAAAGATGCGCTTTCTTTTTATCCTTTTGCTGTTGTTCTGATTTATTTTTGCTGTATTCTTGTGATGGTGAAGAGTATACTTGATCAATAGCAGTATACCTTTGGATTTATTTATTCACTTGTCAAAAGAGTAGACAAAAGCGACTCGGCTACTTTTTAAATAAGTATTAGAATGCGAATAAAACTTGACATGCTTGGACAAGTGCAGCGATCTCAAATTACTTTTTTGGCTAGGAGAGTTGACTAAAATTTTAGTGGGTAATCAATAAAAAAGATCTTACGGAAAGTGATTATCAAGAAAATAAAAAAGTTTTTTACAAACTTATATGCTGTACTTTATTAATTCAATGGTAGAATCACGCTTTTTTCTCTGAATTTCTACTGACGAGGGAACCCCACGAAGTGATTAAACGCTTTTTGCTCGGAATGTAGTGGGTTATAGGTTATCGACCATGCTGATTACGAATACGACCATGCGGCTTCCGCATAGCCCTCTGAAGACCTGGTTTTCTAGAAAACGAGTTTTTCAGAAACCCCCAAAAATAACCCGAACCGTTCTTAATGAGGCATGATTGTAGCCCGCACATTTCTGATTAAAATGAGACCTCTCCCAACTCCACATGACCTTTCTTTGCAAACTTATAGAATTTACAACAAAAGCCCTAAACGTTCATTGTCAGCTAAAAGCTACAGAAATAAGAAGAAATTAATTTAGGGCTCTTCGTGTAAATTCTATAACTTTGCAAAGAAAGGTCATGTGGAGTTGGG